AAAAAAAAAAAAAAAAAAAAAAAAAAAAAAAAAAAAAAAAAGATATATCATAATTGATGTACAGTACATATATATGTCGCTACATATGAACATACACACACACACCTACACACACGTATATGTATATATACATATATATACTGTTGGCGGTGGGTTACGGGAAAAAAAAAAAAAAAAAAAAAAAAAAATGGATTATACGGAATATGGAATATATGGGTCACGATGCTTGTTAAAAAGGTCGGGGACCGCAAATCCCAGAACAATAATTTATTCGAAATTGGTTTGGCTCTGCATTGCCGAAGACATTTTTAAAGAGCACCGTATTTTTTCGGTTCTTGTTTCACGTATTCGTTTTATGTCCGTTTGTTCATATTGCTCAATGGCGTGCTACACGGTTTGTCGGGACATCATACGATATTAGTGTTTACTTACTCCCGAAGCAGTATATGAAAATAACAATAGTGTTTAGAAAAATAAAATAGATATCCCTTGGGGCCGAACAAATCTATTTTATGCCAGGGCATTCTCAAGGCCCAGTATGAGAAAATATATTTTTGAATCTGCTTCGTTGGCATTCTACACGTTTACGATCGAATTACACGATTTTTCTTGAAGTTTTCATTTAGGGGGAATGTTATTGTTCTTGATTTTTGGTTGTCCCCTTTTTTATATCCAAAATTAGCCGTGTTGATAAATAATTTCCAAAATGAATTATTCATGTAAATTAGTGCGATAATCACATTGAGACGTTTCCTTTTTCATTCAAAAAACACCATTAATTATTCCACAAATATTTTCCCAAAAATGTTACACATATTGTTTTCGAAATTTGCAATCTTTTGGCAAATTCTTGTGGCCATCTTGGAAGCGATGCATCAAAGAAGAGAGATTATTCTTTAATGAAAACTCGCTCCCCGAACGGCCACATGGCCAATTTGAAATTAAACTTTAAAGGCAATGATTTTGATTGTTTGGCCGAAGTCATTTTTGAACGCACTAACATCTTGTCCGCTCGGAAGATATCTATGTAGCTCACCCCCCGGCCGTCTCACCATTTTGCAATGAAGGGTTTCCGTAAATATTGAGGAAAATCTTGGCGAACATATCCCGTTTATTTTGGTCGTATGCTGGATTCCGAATTTCCGCTGTTCCCAACCAATTTCCGACGGCGGCGAAGTACCCCGTTTGGTGTCCGGGATTTTGGTTGATTTTTTCCATCAATCGGTGGTACCATTGATCTCATTACCGATTTTTCGGTCGATCTCATCATCGATCTTAATATCAATCTCATAAGCGATCTCATTAGAAATTGATTGAGAGTCTCGCGATCGATCTCACTATCGATCTAGATCTCTCGATTTCATTATCGATCTCATTAAATCGATTTCTCTCTCGGTCTCACGATCGACCTTACAATCGTCCTTGCTATCGATTCCATCACCGATCTCAGAATCGATCTCAAATCCGTTGTAGTAATTTTCGTTCAAATCATATTTTTACATTTATTATAAATGGTGGTCATGCACAAAATGGTTTCATTGACGGTACCCTGCCATCCTCATTCAAAGACAACAATACAACATGCTCACGCGGCGTCTGCGCACTGTGCACATGTATAAGAAGACCCTCGCTGAAAATAAATTCGAAGAGAAACATCGATATACAAATTACGCCATATAGGGCTGGTAGGTCTAGGATGGACCGGCTGCATCAATATAGATATTAATGGTTCTTGTGCCGCTGGATATCTTCATGGCAATGGGTTGGCAATTTAAATGCACAACACAACAGCTCGACGGAACTATGCGAGAGATTCTTGTTGTGTAGTCGGCCAGCCGCAATAGATGCGGGCCCGCCGTACCACCCCTGAGATGCACGATGTATTCAAAGGGTTCCCCGACGTAGGGGGCGCGGGAACCCAAAACCTTAGGCAGCGGGGCCTCCGCTGCTTCAGGCTCGAAACCAACTGGGACAGGGGTGGTGCCAGCACTCGTGTCTCGGGCATCTCGAGGCATCTCGCAACGGCGGCGCAACGGTGATGCCCGCGGCGGGTTTTTACTGCGTGTTCGACTGCCTTGGGCACCTCCCTTAAGGTTGGGTCGCCCAGTCCTCTGTCCGGGCACAAAAGTAGAACATTATTAACACGGTTTATCATTCATCAACACAGAATTGCAATAAAAGTAATATTCCATGATCGTCCGGACCCTTACGGCCATATTGCCCACAACCGCTGGGGGCGCATGGACAGACGACATAAAGAAACGATTACTGCATAGAAGCACGAAGCTGGCAATTGTGTTCTTGACGAGAACTTGGAGCGCCTCTTCCACCAAACTATTTGCCAATTCCGTAGGATGGTCAACGCAGCATGCATTTCGTCGTCCTATGTCTGAACGTCACGCAAAATTTGCCTTTATTGTGTGACGTCGTAATTATCAGATTTTACCGGGAATGATGTGCCCAGGCCGGGAACAAATACCACTGGGAGTTTTGCAAATGTTACGACAAGCTGATTGGGATGTTTACTATGTTTTGGATCAGATGTGTATGGGAGATGCGGGCTATGAGCCATCGACATTACACCCCGATTGGTTAGAGAATGGGCCCAACAGCTAAATCATAAGATTCGTGAGAAAGACTTGCCTTCAACTTCCCATGCAAGAGTCGAATACAATATGTATGTATGAACGTGATACCTCTGATACCCAAACTGAAAATTTGATTACACTACACTTGAATAAGGTCTCTACAGTAATACCAACGATTACTGCGCGATCGATTATGACGCCATCTTCGGCAGCAACAACTACGGACCGACCCCAATTATTACGATGATTATGGTTGCTACCAACAGCGTCTTCGTCTGATATGACTTCAAGTATTACGTGTTCGCGTCTGCTCTTCTTCATTCCTGTTGCCAGCCGAGGCCTTGCTACCGATGAAGCTTTGGAAGTCCTGGTATCAACTGCGACCTTGCGGCCCCGATCCCGGAAAAATGTGTGATATTGCACGATCAGAACCAATTTCGTATATGTAATAATAACTGTATATGTTGTCACATGCTGTCACTGTTGATTCGGAACATGGAGGTCCGCATGAGAAAGGCCAGCAACCCAAGACTGCCGACCACACGAGAGCAAGCCGTGGCAAACTTGAAGAGCTGAGGTATTTTGGGCCATGGGCTCTACACTACAACAACATCGGCAACTAGACCACAACCCATAACGCAACCGACTCCGACCCCAGCCCCGACTGCGGTAACTGGTATGCCCTCCCGCTGCGTTGCCTCTCCCAGTGGTTCCCCATGCTGATGTTTGAGCCATTGTCCTTCAGACGGGCCGACTACGATCCCTGCCGCCAGGCGGCCCCCTCTCGCCCTCTTCCTCCAGGCCCTCCGCCCGAGAATCCGCCCTTAGCCGCTCTGCCTCCGATCTCCCGCTCATCGGGACAACGCTGTCGCTGCCCTACAACCGCTTGGAATTTTACCAGAACCTGCAGGACCTTCCAGCACTGCCGAGTGAGTCCTACGGCCGATGCTGGAGGAATCGACCACGGCTTCACCACCGACCCACCAACTACGGCACCCATTCAAGTCCTGACGCGACCGACGGCAACATTCCCTATAACGGCTCGGCTGCCTATCCCGTCCCTGCCCCAACGCACTCCGACCCAAGCTCCATTTCCGGCCCCTCTACCCTTACCCATTCCTCCGGCTCCCTCTGGAGCTCCAGGGCAAGCGATTGAGAGGGAGCCAGGTCGGGGCGACCCAAGCGGAGGACACGCCGACGGCGAGGCATTGTCTGAAGGACGCCGCGAATATGATTCCGTCGCCGAGCGTCGGGGGAGAGAGGAGGCCGTCGAACTGGCCTCTCGGAAGCCTGCCTCTCTGGGCGGAGGAGGGCCAGGCGTTGCGTGAGGTGCTCCTGTGACTGTCGGCTCCGACCGAGCGGCGCTGGGGCCCCTTGTCCGAAGAGGCCGTGGCCCGACTGCCACTCGCGCCACCAGCCGAGCCCAGGAGCCAAGCATCCTGACTGTGACAAACGGGCTCTGGGGGGCTTCTCTTAGGTCGGACCTGTCCCCCTACAGGGAGATTTTAGACAACAGTAAAAAATAAGTAAAAAACACATCCCCAGACATGTTTTTACTATTTTTGAATGTTCCTCCTGTGTAGAGACAGGTCCGACTTAAGGCTTCTCTGGGTGGAGGAGGAGGAGCAGGACGAGCAGAACGAGGAGGACGAAGAGGAGGGGTCTGTTCACACTTCCTCCACGCCAGCCGGCGGCCCTTGGAGCGGTGCTCCAGGGGTCGCCTGGTTTTCGTTGGATCAGCCCCCCCCCCAGGGCCGCCCGGCCCCGGGAAGCTGGGGGGAGGCTTCGTCAGACAACAGTGCAGCCATCAGGTGTCAGGCGTCAGGAGGAGGGCCCCCCCCCCCCCAGACGATGAAAGCAAGAGGATGGTGCGCGGTGGGGTATTGGATGCTTTGGGCTTCTGGGGAGCATTCTTGAGCTTCCTTGCGCCTCTAGCCGTCTTCAATTCGTGCCGGAGCCTCCTGGACGCATGCTTGGAGGGAAGAAGAAGAGGCTCACTCGAAATCGGATGAGAGCAGCGCTTGGACACCCGTACATCTGAACGACACAGCAACAGAAGACTTAAAGAGGCAACGGTTCATCGATCAGTGTAGCATGCCTCCTTGAAATGTGTGCAGCTGGGGGAAGCAGACTAAATCCATGCGCATCGGAGGGCCAATGCCGTCTGATTGCCGACAGAACCGATGCACGTGGAGCCGAAAGCTCCGAAAACTCGTATCTACAAGCAGCATTCGTCTACAAGAACTCGAGGGAGTCCTGCCTTCCGAAAGCCTGCCGATAATGGAGAGTTCTCCTGGTGGTGTCTTATCTTGGGTACATCTTGGGCCGTTTGGGGGCCCTCTTGGGCCGTCTCGAGCTTCGTCGGGGGCCCTCTTAGGGCGGCTTGAAGCTTTCTTGGGCTCTCTTGGACCGTCCTGGGCCGCGTGGGGGCGATCTCGAGGGCTTCTTGGGCCGTCTCGGGCGCCCCGAACACCGAAGAGGCGAGCATGCGAAAACCATGCAAAGCCATTGAGTATCACTACTTTTTGCCTGTTGGAATATGTGGGGGTGCTTTTCGGGCGCCCGTGGGACATCTTAGGCGGCTGCTTTTTTTGTCCGTTTGATGGGATGGGGGGGGGGGCGATGCCAGGACTGACTGGCATGCTGGCTGCATACGTAGGACGAACGATTGTGCACGAGTGTGAGGCTGGCTCCAGCGACATCTATACGTACAGCAGGCTGCAAGCGCAGAGCCTGATGCCCAGTTTTGGGCATATCAATACATTGTGAACTCTGCGAGATGATGGACTTCCCTCTCGTCATTCGTCGTCGTTGGCATCGATCTCACGCATTCCTGGTCCCAGTGCTTCCGTACGACCTGTAGCATGCCAATCCTCCATGAACTTATCCCGCTGCTTCTTGCGGGTGATGTGGATGGCCGCAACCACCACGAGGAAGGGGGCCGCAATCACAACGAGAGGGCCGATGACAGGAAGCGTTGCGCCAAAGCTAGAGCGCACAGCACTCGAGAGCGTGCCGAGGTCGACGGACAGGAGCATCACAGGTATCTGCCGTAGCCCGTTCGTGAGCAACCTGTCGCTGACTATGTCCTTGGAGACTGCTCCGAACAGCTGGCCGTGCTTGTGAATCGTGTCTCCCAGGCCGACGCGAGAGAGGATGAGCGAGATCGTGGGGCCACCTCCGAGGAAGATGCAGACCAAGCGGACGACAACTACGGCAGACATCGGGTACGTGACCAAGCTCCTGAGCGATGTTGCTATGGTGCTCTTGTAGAAGGAGTACTGTCTGAAGAAGCGTGCAAACCAATACTGCGCAAACTCGACGCAATCTTGCGATTTCCTCTTCCGCGGCTCGGTCTTGGGGGGGACGTCCGTTGGATCTGACAGAGGGACCAGATCGATACACTTGACCACGGTCTCCACGATGACCAACGGCCTCCACCTTGGTAAGTGGTGTTCGATCCTCGCCCAAAGAGCACAAGGGAGTCCATAGACCGCGGCAGCAAAAGGCACGAGGAACATCACAATGGACGTCGAGAAGAGCCAGGCGTAGATGGCCGTTGACAGGAGTAGGAACAGGCTGTCAGATGTGGTTACGATGCTCCGAACCCAGAGGTCTGTGAAGAGCCTCCAGTAGGAATCCTCGATGTTACAATAGGTGTTCAAGACCCCCTTCATCAGAAAGAACACCCCGGAGTCCAGAGATGCGATCCCTTTTCTGGCACGCCCCACAAGCGGGCACACATCTCAGGTGTGGAGGTAGTCGGGTGTGATGAGGTCGTTACTGAAAACAAATGAGAAAACACAAATGGCCAGCAATTCGTCGAGGATCGGCGTGAGGATCGCGACGCCACGGTGGTCCTGGTGTGCAATCTGTTCGAGCGAGTGCAGCTCATTCTTTGTCCCTGGGTGGTGCAGCCGGATGCTACAAGCTCGGCAGAAGGATTCCTCACACTCAGGACAGTAGACACACTCCTCCTCGTCACACCAGTCGCACGGCATGAGTCTATGCGTTGGCGAAGGTCCTTGAAGCACCCCTCGAGCCCAAATGGCTACGGACTGTCTTGGGCGGCTCACTGGCTATGCTGGGCCCATCTGGAGGCCTCGGCAGGCATCTTTGGGAGCTCTGGAGCCATCATCGAGGCACTCTCGTAGCACTGGAGGAAACACGTGGGCTGTCGTCTTGGCGAGGGGAGCCTCGCAGGGAGCCGCCAGGCGGGGGGAGGAACCTCCCCATGGCCAATGGGATTGTTGTGCGGGACCCGTGGCCACGGTTCTCCGCACGGTGTCCCCATTATGTATGTCTGTATGTCTGTATGCATGCGTGCATGTATGTCTGTACGTATGGATGCACGCATGCATGCACGTACGTGCGTATGTATGTCTGCCTGCCTGCCTGTACGTATGCTGGTGCATACAGATATACTCACACACACACTAGAAACACGCGTGCGCTTCGCTTCGCGCGCACTCAGGCTCTAGCAAGCTCCACTTGTACTCTCGGGTGTTCGCCGTCGGAGAACATACATTGTCACACGGATCGTGCCCCTCAGGGAGCTCCACCTGCCGCCCCAGAGACAGGCTTGGCTTAGCGTCCTCTGGCCCATGTCGGCACACCGCTCTCAGGGATCGCGCCCCACAGGGAGCTCCACCTACGTCCCCAGAGGCACTGCTCGCAAAGTGGCACGCCCCTCATGCGGGTCGTGCCCCGCAACTAAGTGCATTTACGGCACGCAGAGAGCTTCATAGCGTCGCCCCGCTAACTTCAGCACACCTCTCACAAGGATCGTGGCCCACAGGGATCTCCACCTACGGCCCCAGAGGCAGGGTTCGCACTGCGCCCCCCTGGTCATTGCGGCACACCCCGTCACGCGGATCGTGCCCACAAGGGGCACCACCTAAATGGCGAGAGGCAAAGTTTGTACAGCGTCCTCCCGCCCGTGTAGCACCCGTCGCGAGAATCATGCCCCAGAAGGAGCTCAACCTATGCACCAATGGGCAGCTTCGCATGGCGCCCCCCCGTCCACTTGGGAACATGACTCGCACGGATCGTGCCCGAAAGTCCACCTGCGTCCTCAGTGGGCGTGTTCGCGCGGGGGCATCCGCATGATTCGGCACACCATTCGCGCGGATCGTGCCCCACGAAAAGTTCAGCGCACACGTGCACGCGTGCTTCGCAGCAGCCATCTTTCCGCACTGCCCCGCGACGCGCAATGTATAAAGAGAGACCGCGCCCTGCGCTACACATGACTGCATAGGGATGGGTCCGTCGCCAAACCAACTCCTTGCTTCTGATCGAAGACGTCTACGGCGACTCACCGCCGCCCCCTGTCCTTTCGGGATCGCCTACGTGTCCGAACGTTGTGGCTAGAGGCCTGCCAAGCTATCGGACCATGTGTTCCCCGAATCGGTTTGGAAACCATTCGGGTAGCACGGTGGGGGAGAATGAACATGAAGAGGAAGAGGAATAGGCCTCTTGGGCCGTCGCGAGCCGTCCGAATGACGTGAAGAAACATATGCCAACAGCCTTGAACCACTTCGGGAAAAAGGATGATTTTGGTCTCTTTGGGCCCTCCTGGAGGGCCTCTTGGAGGCCTTTTGGGCCGCCTTGGAGACTATTGGGGGTACCTTGGACCGCATTGGGCAATATGGACGCCATGCTAGGCCGTCTTGGGGGCATCTTGGGCCGTCTTGGATGCATCTTGGGGGGCGATGCTATCGGACCATGTGTTCCCCGAGCCGATTTGGAAAGCCTTCGGGGAACACGTGGGGGAGGAAGAGGAAGTGGAGGAGACGGAGGGAAACACGAGAAGGGGGAGGATGCCTCCTCGGAGCCTTTTTACGAACTCTTGGGCTCGATTGGGGCAGCTTGGGATCGTCTTGCAAACCATGTTCGGGCTATCTTAGGCTCTCTTGGGGCCTCTTGTGGGCCTCTTGGGGCCCTTTTGGGGCTTCTCGGGTGCCTCTTTAGGCGTCTTATGGCGTTCCTGGCCTGTCTGACGCCGTCGGGAGCCGTCTTGGGGGCCTCTCAGAACCGACTTTGGGATTCTCTTTGGGCGCTTTGGGGCCGTCTTGGCGGTCACCTTGGGCGTCCTGCAAGTCTTGGGCCGTCTTCGGGCCCTTTTGGGGCCGTCTTGGAGGCCTCTTGGACCATCATTGGGCCCTCTTGGAGCCCTCTTGGGCGATCTTGGGGCGATCTTCGGGGCCTCTTGGGCAATCTTGCGGGAATCTTGGGGCCGTCTTGGGCGCGATCTTTGGGCACTTCGGCCGTCTTGGGCCATCGGAAGGCCGACACAAAGCACATGCCACAGTCCTTCAACAACTCATGGGACATCACTGATTTTGGCCTTTTCGGGCCTTCCTGGATGCCCTCTTGAAAGCCTCTTGGGCCGTCTTGGGCCAACTTCGAGCCAACTTCGGCCGTCTTGGTGGGCCCCTGGCCCGTCCGACGCCGTCGGAGGCCGTTTGGGGTGCCTGTCTGAGCCGACTTGGGGCCCTCTGGGAATGCTCCAAGGCCGTCTCGGAGGCCATCTTGGGCGTCTTAAAAACCGCCTGGGCCGTCTTGGGGGCCTCTTGGGCCGTTCTGGGGCTATCTTGGAGGCATCTTGGGCGATCTCTGGGGGCACTTGGGCCGTATCGGGCCGTTTGACGGCCGAAAAGAAGCAAATGCCAAAACCCATCAAAAAAGCATAGAGAACATCACTGTGCTTTTTTGCCTTTTGTGGCCTTCCTGGAGGCCCTCTTGGAGGCCTCTTGGGCCGTCTTGGGCCAGCTTCAAACCAACTTCGGTCATCTTGGTGGGCTCCTGGCCCGTCTGACGCCGTCGGAAGCCGTTTGGGGGGCCTTTCTGGGCCGACTTGGGGCCCTCTTGGGGCGCTTCGGGGCCGTCTTAGAGGCCATCTTGGGCGCCTTGGAGGTCTCTTGGGCCGTCTTGGAGCCCTCTTGGGGCCGTCTTCGGGGCCCCTTGGGTCCTCATGGGGCCCTCTTGGAGGCCTCGTGGGCGATCTTGGGGCGATCTTGGGGGCCTCTTGGGCCGTCTTGAGCCGTCGGAATGCCGAGAAGAAGCAAATGCCCAAATCCGTCAAACACTCATGGAACATCAATGATGTTGGCCTCTTCGGGCCCTCCTGGAGGACCTCTTGGAAGCTTCTTGGGTCGTGTTGGGCCATCTTGGAGGCTTCTCGGGCGACCTTGGAGGTATCTTGGACTCTCTTGGGCCGTCTTGGAGGCTGTCTTGGACCATCTTGGGCGGACTTGGAGGCCATCTTGGACCATCTTGGGGGCCATCTTGGGCCAACGTGGCCATCTTGGAGGCAATCTTTTGCCGTCTTGGAGGAAACATTTGGGAATCTAGGCTCAGGGGAGTGGCTGGCGGGACGGGCCGAAGCCCCAGGGGGAGTTCTTTTAGAACAAAACACCAAAATCAAACCGAAAGGGTCCAGCACGCCAGGCACCTCTGCGATGAATCGACAGGGGGTGGCGGATCTATGGCCTTCGGCCCGCACCGCCATTGTGCCTAGGTTCTGGGCCAGACAAGTCTTGGACAGCTGTAATTCGGGGTCTCTTGTCATGCTTCTCGGGCGCCTCGTGGAGCGAATTTTGAAGCTTCTCGTGGCCTTGTGTGGGCTTCGAAGTCAGTTGGAGCTCCCCTCTTGGACTCCTCTTGGGGCCGTCTTGGGCGCCTCGTGGACCGTCTTGGGGCTCTCTTGGGCCGTCCTAGGGCCCTCCTGGAGGCCTCTTGGGCCGTCTTGGGACGATATGTGGGGCCCCTTTTGGGCCGTTTGGACGCTGCTGAAACCCAAAGTGCGAATATGCTCAATGCCCACAGGGACTGAGACAATTTTGGCCTCCTGGGCCAGGGGCCCTCTCGGGCCGCATCTCGGAGCTTTCTGAAGACGTCTTCGGGGCCTCTTGAGCCGTCTTGAAACAATACTCGGGCGTCTTCTCTGGTCGCTTTCCGGTTGCCTCCAGGGCTGCTTTGAGCGGCGGCGGGGAGGCCTGAGAGGCCCCGGAGAGGGTCAAACATGTCGTGGACCACGTGAAGGAAGAACGACATCTGGGAGGGTGTCCCGGCCCGGGCCGGGCACCCGGTACCCCAGCATCTCTCTCTCTCTCTCTCTCTCTCTCTCTCTCTCTCTCTCCTTTGTTATATATATATATGTTTATGAAACTGTTTCTGTGTATAATGATGCGTAAATGCATACATACACATATATATATATGTGTGTACGCATGTGTACACATATTTGCATATATGTATATGTATATGCAGATGCATATGTATATGTATGTATGTATGTTTGCATGTATGTATGCATGTATTTGGATATGTATATGCATATGTGTTTGTATATGTATACGTGTATGTATATGTTTATGTTTAAGTATATGTATATGTACGTGTATACGTATGTATGTATGTATAAAGCTCTGCGTGGCTCCTGGGGGCCCCACCCAATCCCAACGTCCCTGTCTGCTCCGTACCCTGCGGTCTTCCTCGTTCCGATGCGACCCGGGCGCCGAGGCTTGGAGAACCACCTGAGGGGTTCTGAAGAGCCTGCTTCTCCTCCTTCCTCCTCCTCATCACTCGGCGGCGGACGAGCCTCCCTTTAATGAACCACCCTTTGGTGAAAGCGGCCCAACACCGAAACCAACGGACCAGGACCCGCACAACTGACGGCCGCGACGCCCTCTCGCGAACCGACAACGGCCAATTCGCCACTCGACGCGTCAGGGTAGGAGGTCTATCAACCTCCGAATCGCCACCAACGTTTACTGGGTGGTGCGATTCGGTCGCAGCTCTAGTGGCCGACTTGAACTTGACATAATTACTCCGACGGTCGGGCCCCGCATGAGGATCCTCTCGGCTAACCTGGACATAACCCCAACCGTTATCCTCGTGATTGTTGAGGCGTCCTTACTGTCTCCTCTGCGCCATTATCCTCCTCGCCCTGGCGCAGGCTCTCCTCCCGCTCCCTACGTTGCCCTCTCCTCGCCGTTCTGGTTTTCTTCACCGTCCGCCACCTCGTCTCCTTTCTATTGCGTGAGCGCGCATGTTGATTTTCCTCGGCGCCGTCGCTGCCTTGGCCAGCACGGGCGCAATCTCCAATTACCACGTTGCGCCGCAGCCGTTGGGACAACCCCGTGGGCCAGGCCGTTGGGGCAACCCCGCGAGCCGATGGCGCGCGAGACCAAGCCGCTGGGACAACCCCGCGGGCTTCGAGCGGTGCGCCGCCGCGCTCAAGCAGGGGGCAGCACGATGCCCAGCTCTGCCGCGAGCTGCTCCGCCTCTGCCCTGGAACTTTCCGCTCTGACGTCGGACCGAGCCCCCGCTTGCAGGATTTGAGAAAAGTATCCTGGGCAAGCCTTCTCTATTTTGCGACGTACCCAACCCTTTCTCTCAACATCGGCTCGGTGCAAACGAACATGTTGAAGGACCCGCCTTTCGCAGCCCGCATGGGAGCCGCGAGGTCTCCGCTGGATGTGCGTACTCCTCCGCTCCGCTGGGGGTCCCAGGAAACGGCGAAAGTGGCGACAAGTGCGCAGCCCCCCAGAGAGCCGCGAGATCTCGGGTGGGTCTGCGTACCACCCCACGCAGCTGGGCCTCCCAAGAGCCCACGAAAGTGGTCACACTTGGACAATTCGCAGTCCCGCAAGGTGTCGCGAGGTCTCGGCTGGGTCTGCGTACCACCCCGCTCCACTGGGCATCCCAAGAGCCCATGATAATTGCGACAATTGCGTAGTTCCCAGCTCATCAGGAAGCCGCGAAGTCTCGACTGGATCTGCGTGCCACCCCACTCCGCCGGGCCTCCCAGGCGCCCACGAACGCGGCGACACTTGCGCAATTCGCAGCCCCCCCAGGGAGCCGCGAGGTCTCGGCTGGGTCTGCGTACCACCGCACTCCGCTGGGCTTTCCAGGAGCCCACGAACGTGGCGACATATGCGGGGGCCACAGCAGTTCGCAGCCCCCTAGTGAGCCGCGAGGTCTCGGCTGGGTCTGCGTACCACCCCACTCCGCTGGGCATCCCAGGAGCCAACGAAAGCGGCGACAATTGCGCAATTCGCAGCCCCCCCAGGGAGGTCTCGGGTGGGTATGCCTACCACGACACTCCGCTGGGCTTTCCAGGAACCCACGAACGTGGCGACATATGCGGGGGCCACAGCAGTTCGCAGCCCCCTAGTGAGCCGCGAGGTCTCGGCTGGGTCTGCGTACCACCCCACTCCGCTGGGCATCCCAGGAGCCAACGAAAGCGGCGACAAGTGCGCAATTCGCAGCCCCCTCCGGGAGCCGCGAGGTCTCGGCTGGGTCTGCGTACCACCACACTCCGCTGGGCCTCCCAAGCGCCCATGAACGTGGCGACAAATGTGCAGTTCGGAGCCCCCCAAGGAAGCCGCGAGTTCTCGGCTGGGTCTGCGTACCACCCAACTCCGCCGGGCCTCCCAGGCGCCCACGAACGCGGCGACAACTGCGCAGTTCGCAGCCCCCCAGGGGGTCTCGCCTGGACCCCCCCAGGGAGCCGCGAGCAGAAGGATTATGATGATGATGAGGAGGATGAGGAGGAGGGGTGGGATGAGGAAGGAATGGAAATCACAGAGCTCTATCCCAACACAGGAATGCTGGGGGAAACCATGCCACATGTTACAACTGTCACATCTGATGGTCTCGCGGACAACCGCGTCACACTGTACGGCCCTCGCGGACAAGAGCTGCCGCATGCTGCGACCGCCTCGGCACTCATCGGAGGGCCCCTTACACACTGACACGCTGGTACGGTGGCGGAAGTGGCCGCAGGCACCTGGATAGCTGAGTCGGATAAGGCTGACAAGCCCTCTGGGCCTTCGGGCGCTTGCCTAGGACAGTCGGCGCTGATGTATGGACTGGCCTTTGAACTGCGTTCGCTCTCACAAGGATGCGCCACAGGACGAGCGAGAAGCAATCGAAGGAGGCGCTTCGTTTCTTGGGCTCCTTCCCCAGTCACGAAGTTCAGCGGCCTCTCGGTGCGCCGAGCGTGCACGCACAAGCGTCTCTACCGTTCAGGCAATGTGCCGCGGATAGAGCGCAAGGCCCTGAGAGCCCCAGTTCCAGCAGGGGTATGTTAGGCCTGGTGGCCGCAACCAATGAATGTGAGCAAGAAAGCCCGATTGCTGAACGGCCCGGATGGCTTTCAGTTTCTCTACCTTTTTCGCTGGGCAGGCCTGGGGTGCTGGAATACGCAATGACACTTGCCTGGGGGACTGGGGCTCGTATTGGCCGGCTGTAATGTTACACTGCCTATTATGTACATGACCCTGCCGCTGCATGGTTCCGTCCGCGACATTGGACGCGGAGAACGGGCGGGGGCGAATAGGCACTGGCGGTGACAACTCGATCGCTGCTGGCGGACCCTCTCCCGTGGCCCGCGGGTTGCGAGCAACCACAGGTGGCGATGACAGCCGCGGCCGCGCGAGGCTGCGCCTTGTCCAATCTCGCCCGCGCGCGCGCGCGACCCTGCTCAGAACTCCTGCGAGGCGCCCTTGAGGCCGCCCTCCTTGACGGCCCCCTGCTTCTTCGGGAGCAGGACCGAGTGGATGTTGGGGAGCACGCCGCCGTTCGCGATGGTCACGTTGCTCATGTACTTGTTCAGCTCCTCGTCGCTGCGGATCGCGAGCTGGATGTGCCGCGGCTGGATGCGCAGCTTCTTCTGGTCCTTGGCCGTGTTTCCTGCGAGCTCGAGGATCTCCGCCGCGATGTCCGCCACCGCACCTGCAGCGGTTCGTGTGCGTCGCGCCCTTTCGCCTTCTGCGAAGCAGCAGTTAGGGCCCCCCCCGATGCAACGAGCCCAAGATGCGTTCATGTTGGTGGCCAGGCCCCCTCGTTCTTGTCCCTCCCAAGCAGGACATACATCCAAATACAACAGTTGGGGAAGGGACAGAGGACGCGAGGCCGCCCATAGAGGTGCCAGGAACGCCCCGAAACCTCCTGCCTTGCGCCAGGCTGGGGGGAACACTGAGCCGTCGTCAAGCGTCACCCCAGCATTTGTGCTGTCCGCCTCGCGTTCTCGACGATGGCATTCTATGCCACGGCGCCCGGTGCCGAGGAGGAGGAGGAGGAGGAGGAGGAGAAGGAGGAGGAGGAGGAGGAGGAGGAGGAGGAGGAGGGAAGGAGGAGGAGGAGGAGGAGGAGGAGGAGGAGGAGGAGGAGGAGGCAGGAGGAGGAGGAGGAGGAGGAGGAGGAGGAGGAGGAGGGGAGGAGGAGAGAGGGGGAGAGGGAGGAGGGGGAGGGAGGAGGGAGGATGGAGGAAGGAGGAGCGAGGGGGAAGGAGGGAGGAGGGAGGAGGAGAAGATCTTGTCGGTCAGCGCCCTGTCTGAAGGGCGCGGTCCAGTCCTCCGCTCCGAACCTGGTGGCGAGCTCCTCGCTGATGTGCGTCGCCTGC